TGCAGTCGTTGCTGTCTAAACAAACGTGCGACGTATTAAAAATGCTAAACGCAGGTATAATTGTTTTTATTGAGCTGTATATATTATAGTAACTATATATTGACTCACAAAAAAATACGGCTAAATAATCGGTCGTTTGTCGCACTTTCTGAAACATCTTCTTGTTGATACGTTCTATGTGATCGGTAAGTTCCATATTCTCCGGATTGGTCAACCAGTCAAGGATCTCTTCCTCGTCGTCAATGTCACCATCATAATTAATGTTCTTACCCTTGCGGAAGTAAGTGATGCCTGGTGGATTTCGAAAACCGTATTTCTTCGCCATTAGCCGATCCTTCATCCTTACGATCTTTATTCCGTATTCCGCAGCTTCGTCGTCAATCAATTCGATATGCCTAAGCACCCTTGGACTCTCCGGATCCTCCTCTTTGTCTGAATATTTTTTGTTATGTAATGTATACAATCCTATGTGATTATAGTATCTTCTAATATTTCAATTACAATATAAAATTTTTTTTATGAGATTATCGATTCTATTAGAAAATTATATGCAGAATAATTATAGCAGTATAGAAGTTCCATATAGAATTATCGAAAGAAAATTTATATCTTATGTAAAAAAGCGACAAATTATTATATGAGTAGCTGATATGCAAAAGCCGATATTTTTTAAAATTGAAAAGAAAGAAATATTGGATTCCTTAACACCTTGATACAAATTGAACATTTTAGATTGTGTAAAAACAGTTACAAATTTTATAAAATCAAGGGAATTAAATGGGAAATTAAGTGGTAAAAGAAGTTAATATCTACTTTGTACCCTGACTGAGGTTCACTAGTTTTTTTAATTTTAATAATAATAAATAATATATATTGACGAGCATTATTTTTTTCTAAAATTTGTTTCGCCAATTTTTCCTCTGTGTTTTATTTTCATTTGAATGTGACATAAAGACAACATAACAGAAGAAAAAAATATATTTTTCAAAATAAAAACTAAATGTAAAATGATTTTTAATATAATATGTATTTTTTACTAACAAGATAATAATGCTTTAAAATAAAAATTCTATTTAATTTAATAACCTACTCTAAGTTTTAATCGTTTTTACATCAACACTTCAGTCTCAAGATTAGCTAAATCCTTTCTTTAGCTGCAAAAGTAGTCAAGTGCATTTATATTTTGTATTTTAATAAATAGAAATTGTATTTTTATGTCATATTATACATTTTGTTAACTAAAATGATGAATTTTTCTTAATTAAAAAAAATAGTTCTTATTGATACTTTGAATGAGAAAAATTATACAAGTTTTTTCTGCCAAAAAACATTTTAAGTGAAAGTAATTACTTCTGCAAATAGGCTACTCATATATATTAATATATGTATGTATAAATATAATATATCTAACAACAGATTTCAAATTTTTATAGAGTATAATTTTGTAAAGTGACATTAATATTTAAGACGATAAAGAATAAATAAAATAAAGAAAACAAGACAGACGAGCTTCCTTATTGCTTGCTATTTTTATGTAAAATACATTGATTCGAAATTGCCCCTTACAGAATACAACAGCGAGAAATTCTTTTGTCTCGATGTATTTGATGAGAGTCTCACGGTCGATTTCTTCAATGCTCTCATCAGTTTTTTGTTTCACCATCCATTCGAGTACTTCAGTCTCGTCGAGAAGATTACCTAAATATACAAGGCCCAGTTGATAATCAATTGCCCAATATTTTGCTAGTCAGAGTTGAATTAATGCTGCAACAAATAGTATCTTCTCCGAAATTCGGAAAAAGATCTCTACAATTTATATATGAGCTATTTAAATATTTTCTAACATCATTAAGAAAACTGTAAGATCCTTTACAAATTAAACAAAACTATAATCTTTGTGCGTCGGACATATACGTATATATAAAGAACATTGGTCTTATCTGTTCCTGTTTTCAAATTTAGTTTTATTTTTATGTTTAATTTTATCTTTTATTACAAATTGAGATAACGTAATCAATTTTAATCAGTATTTCATATCTCAAAATTTATTCATTACATGTTAATTAAATATATATATTTATTATATTAAATATTTTGATATTTTCTTTGAGTTATTTTCTTGACAAAAGCAACATGTAGATACCAAAAATCTTTAATGCAGTTTATGACAGGTTTTTTTGTATTTGATGATGATAATTTTGTATTTAATATGATAATGAAAAATGTAATTCAATATATAATTCTGCTAAATATATATATTTTTAGTCAAAATATCTATGCATAAAACATATTAAAGCTCAAGAAAGTCACTTTGTTTCGAGACTTTTATAACAGATTTCTATAGGTACCAATTTTGCTCTAATTTAGCTATATTGGGACCTTTTAATCTACAACAATTCAATTTACTAAAGAATAATATGTCGACATAGCGATAATTTTATTCATATTGTCGCTGTTCTGGAATGGCTATTCATTTCTATTTTCTATCAATTTTTTTCATAAACTATTGTTTTATCGTGAAAATGTGTAAAGATTGTTTATAATGACGAAATTATATACCTTTACAATATAATTTTATCATTAAATTAAGAAGTTATAAGTATATTTAATTTGTTAAAGATTGTATAACAACAAAATAATAAATAAAGCTAAAACGTTTAAACTTGTTTAGAGATTTTGTTAAAGAATAATTAGAAATTTAATTTTATTTTTATAAATATGCTTAATAAAAATAAACTTTTCATTTTTACAAATATTTGATATCATTTTGCTGGATATAATCGAAATAAATGATTCGTCTTTGTATTTTTGTAATTTTTCTATATCAAATAATTTGTATATAATTCACGTAATTTTAATGTGAGTTTTTGTGAATCGAATTGGACGTGTAAGCATATGTATAATAAAATAATGAAGCCTATATTATTATTAGAGCGATGGTGGATAAAGCAAATACAAAGGATATATTAGGAAATATATTTATTGTTATCATATAATCGACTTTTATTATCGTACATGCTGCTCTTATGCAAATAACAAGGACTTATTGACTCGCACGCAACGTTCACGAGCAATAATTCATGACGTCTGATAATCGTGATCACAGATACAGTGCGACAAAAAGTTTCGTTCGTTGATGACGCGACGATTTTCTAAAATACCTAAGATGATCGACTTTACGCTCTTAGGTCGCGATACAATATTATACGAATTTCGCCTGTAACTCAACAATTTCCTGATGACGTGTTTGTATCTTGCGCAGATTATCGGACACTGAGCGATAAAACACGGCGAACACATGAGACAAGAATATTTTAATTACAAATAAATAAATAAATAAATAAATAGATACCTTTATCGTGACTCTTTTCGCGCGATCTAATCGCGATTCTTCAAAAGGCTATTCTTCGTTGTAAATTCATGCAATCAATATAAAGCTAGATAAGCATTAGAGTTGTAACAAGATATATGGATGTAACAAAAGATATATCGATTTTCAACGTATTGCAAAGGAAGAGCAGAACATATTTATGCCGAAATTAAAAGTAACATTTTAGATAAGAGACGCAATCACAATTATATTTGTAATTTGTAAAATCTTATTTACATGTATGATGCGTTTTTTTTCTTATTTTAAGATAATACATTCTGTTAAAATAATACATATTTTTGTGTTATTCTAATCTCAAGTTTATAAGTTCTGAAGTTTTAATGGTGAGATATCGATAATTTCAGTAACTGTTACGAATTTTAAACTCAATTTTTTTAAATCATTATTGTCGAAATGGTTTGTAATTCATGGCAAATCAGATTTCTTCCCAATTTAAAATAGATGACTGACATAAACACACTGTAGGAACTCTCTGTATTACTAAGAAATCTCGTTATATAAATAAAATCATAGGCAAGACATTCGTTCATAGCTTCGCGCTAACTCTGGGCCTCAGCCCAGTTTTCATTTCATTCTTGAGATCTCTTTAGTCTTATAAATATAGTGTTGAAGAGGAAGGTTAGCTTGAGGATTATTAGACTTTATTAGGATAGAAGAGAAAGAATACAGAAATCGAAAAAACGGAGGATCCAGAATGAAAGGTTTTAGTTACAAACGATTAATCTCTCTCATGTTAAATTAAACTCTAGAGCGTGTATACCGCAATCTAGGTAGAACACTATCCATAGTCTCGGCAACAGCGATTGTTTACATTTTCTTTTTCCTACACTATAAAGTCCTACCCATTACTGAGTGCGAATGTTATCGATGAAATGCAACAAATCGGCGGTATCGCTCTTCGTGACGTTAACGGGTTAACGGATAAAACAAAACCAATAAACAATATTCAGCGTTAGACGACGGTCGGATGTTAAGGATCGAGATTCTATATAAGAAATGCATACGTTGGGAGAATAATTCTGTTTATCGTGTGATCATCGGCAGATACCGGACCGACATACTATCGAATATATTGGCTCTTCTCTAATCTCTTCAGTATCGTATACGCACAGCCGATGTGAATTATTTCTCTATAACGTCCTTTTATCGATCATAGGATGCGTTTATATCTAAGCTCCTTACATACATAACAATTAACAGAAACATTAAAATCGCTCGCGGATGTTCATTTATTTTTCTGCGCATGACACACGGATGAATACATCGCGAAGAAAGATGACGTAGTTGTTGACTCTAGCGATAAAAATGACATTATGACACTGATGACGATGACGTTGACAATGATAACACAGTAATGACGAAAGTGAATTCGACGGCAAATATGATGATGGAACAATATTGATAATTGATAAATGACGACAACAATGTGTTAAATGGCAACGAGACATTTCGTTCCTTTAAGAAACATGAAATCTTTACTCGCTCGATAGCGAAATTTATCTTTTTCGAGCTGTTAGCACATGATAGCATAGAGCACCTGGCTTCTTCCGTCATTGCGCGGATTTTTCTGTCGAGCGAGTTTTTCCTTCGTTCGACCATCGTCCTGCGA